AAAAATGCATGGAGACAAATGAAAATGAAAACACAATGGTCCAAAATCTTTGGGTTCTAAAAGGGAAGTCTATAGCAATACAGGCTTACCTCAAGAAGCAAGAAAAATCTCAAATTAACCTAACCTTACACGTGAAGGAGCTACGAAAAAAAAAGAAAAAGAACAAACAAAACCCCAAAACAGCAGAAGGAAGGAAATAATAAAGATTAGAGCAGAAATAAACAAAATAGAAACTTAAAAAAAAAAAAAAAAAAAAAAAAAAAAAAAAAAAAAAAACTAGGAGAGCAGATCAATGAAACCAGAAGCTGGTTCTTTGAAAAGATCAACAAAATTGATAAACATTTAGCCTGACTTATCAAAAACAAACAAACAAAAAAAAACAAAACACAGAGGACTCAAACAAACAAAATCAGAAATGAAAGAAGAAAAAGAAAGAAAAAAAAATGAAGAGGGCATCTGGGTGCCTCAGTTGGTTAAGTGGCTGACTCTTGATTTCAGCTCAGGTCATGATCTCACCATTTGCAAGATCGAGCCCCATGTGAGGCTCTGCACTGACGGCATGGCGCCTGCTTGGGATTCTGTCTTTGCCCCTCTCTCTGCCTCTGCCCTGCTCATGCATTCTCTCTCTCTCTCTCTCTAAATAAATAACTTTTTTTTTCTTTTTAAGTGAAGAAAGAGGAGGGGTGCCTGGGTGCTCAGTTAAGTGTCTCACTTAGGCTCAGGTCAGGATCTCGCAGTTTGTGTGATTCAAGCCCTGCGTCGGGCTCCATGCTGACAGCTCAGAGCCTGGAGCCTGCTTTGGATTCTGTGTGCCCCTCTCTCTCTGCCCTTCCCCCCCCAAAGATAAATAAACATTTAAAAAAATTGAAGAGGAGGGGGTGCCTGGGTGGTTCGGTCAGTTAAGCGTCCAACTTTGGCTCAGGTCATGATCTTGCAGATCATGAGTTCCAGCCCTGTGTCAGGCTCTGTGCTGACAGCTCAGAGCCTAGAGCCTGCTTTAGATTCTGTGTCTCCCTCTGTCTCTGCCCCTCCCCTGTTCATGCTTTGTGTGTGTGTGTGTCTCTCTCTCTCTGTCTCTCTCTCAAAAATAAAAACTTAAAAATTTTTTATTTTACAATGAAGAGGAGAAATAACAACCAACACAAATACAAAGCATTATAAGAGAGTATGAAATATTATATGCCAACAAATTGGACAACCTAGAAGAGTTAGACAAATTATTAGGCACGTGTAGCCTCCCAGAACTGGACCAGGAGAATTAGAAAATTTGAGTAGACAGATTAGCAGTAACATTGAATCACTAGTCAAAAAACCCCCAACAAACAGAAAATCTAGGACCAAACGCCTTCACAGGTAAATTCTATGAAAACGGTGAATGCCTATTCTTCTCAAACTATTCCAAAAAATAGAAGAGAAAGGAAAGCTTCCAGATTCATTCTCTGCGCCCAGCGTTACCCTGATGCCAAAACTAGATAAAGACACCACAAAAAACAAAACAAAAAAAAACTATTAAGACAATATCTCGGTGAACATAAATGTAAAAACTCTGAACAATATGTTAGCAAACAAAATCCAACAATACATTAAAAAAAATCATTTACCACGACCAAGTGGGATTTATCTTGAGTTGCAAGGGTGGTTCAGTCTTCACAAATGCATCAATCTGATACATCATCACATCAGCAAGGGAAGGGACAAAAACCATATGGTCATTTCAGTAGATGCAGAAAAAGCATTTGCCAACATCCATTTGTGATATAAAAAAACCTCCACAAATTATGTTTAGAGGGAACATACGTCAACATAATAAAGGCCATATATGAAGAAGCAAGCTAACTTCATACTCAATAGTGAAGGACTGAGAGCTTTTCCCCTAAGATCAGGAACAAGACAAGGATGTCTGCTCTTAATCACTTTTATTACTGGAAGCCGTAGCCACAGCAGTCAGACAACAAAAAGAAATAAAGGCATCCACAGTGGTAAGAAGGAAGTAGGATTTTCAACTACTTGCAGACGACATGATACTATATATAGAAAACCCTTGAGACTCTACCAAAAAACTACTAGAACTAATAAATGAATTCCGTAAGGTCACAGGATAGAAAATCAATATAAAAAAAATCCATTGCATTTCTATACACTAATAATGAAGTAGTCAAAAGAGAAATTAAGAAAACAATTGCATTTATAATTGCACCAAAAAGAATTAAATACCTAGGAACAAACTTAACCAAGGGGTGATAGACCTATATTGAATTTTAAAACATGGATTAAAGAAATTGAAGATGACACAAATGGAAAGATATTCCATGCTCACAGATTGGAAGATCATATATTGTTAAAATATTCATACCATCCAAAGCTGTCTACAGATTTAATGCCATCCCTATCAAAATGCCAACAGCATTTTCACAGAAGATCTAGAACAAACAATCTTAAAATTTGTATGGAATCACAAAAGACCCCAAAAAGCCAAAGCAGTCTTGAAAAAGAATAAAACCGGAGGTATCACAATCCCGGATAACAAGATACACTACGGAACTGTAGTAAGCAAAACAGTGTGGTACTCGCACAAAAATAGACCTCTAGATCAGTGCAACAGAATATAGAGCCCAGAAATAAACCTATCCTTATATGGTCAGCTAATCTACAACAAAGGGGGCAAGAATACACACTGATGAAAAGACAGTCACCTCAACACCAAAAGAAAAACACATACTTAAAAAATGGGCAGAAGACACGAACAGACATTTCTCCAAAGAAGACCTACAGGGGTGCCTGGGTGGCTCAATCGGTTGAGTGTCCAACTTCAGCTCAGGTCGTAATCATGCAGTTCATGAGTTCAAGCCCCACGTCGGGCTCTATGCTGTCAGCTCAGAGCCTGGAGCCTGCTTTGGATTCTGTGTCTCCCTCTCTCTTTGCCCCTCCCCTGTGCTTACTCTCTCTCTCTCAAAAATAAACATGAAAAAAAATTTTTTTTTAAAACAAAGAAGATCTACAGATGGCCAACAGACACCTGAAAAGATGTGCAACATCACTCATCAGCAGGGAAATGCAAATCAAAACCACAATGCGGTATCACCTCACGCCTGTCAGAATGGCCAAAATAAAAAACACAGAAAACGACAAGTGTTGGCGAGGACGTGGAAAAAAAGGAACCCTCGTGCACTGTTGCTGGGAATGCAAACTGGTGTAGCCACTCTGGAAAACAGTATGGAGGTTCCTCAGAAAACTGAAAATAGAATTATGGGGCGCCTGGGTGGCGCAGTCGGTTAAGCGTCCGACTTCAGCCAGGTCACGATCTCGCGGTCCGTGAGTTCGAGCCCCGCGTCAGGCTCTGGGCTGATGGCTCGGAGCCTGGAGCCTGTTTCAGATTCTGTGTCTCCCTCTCTCTCTGCCCCTCCCCCGTTCATGCTCTGTCTCTCTCTGTCCCAAAAATAAAAAAAATAAAACGTTGAAAAAAAAAAATTAAAAAAAAAAGAATTACCCTATGGCCCAATAATTCCACTACTGAGTATTTACCCAAAGAGTACAAAAATACTAATTAGAAAAGATATATACACTTCTGTGTTTCCTGCAGCATAATTTACAGTAGCCAAATCATGGAAGCCACCCCAGTGTCCATCGATAGGTAAATGGATAAAGATGTGGTAGCTGAGGAGGCAGCTGTATCGTATGAATTTTGTATGGTGACAGATGATAACTAGACTTGCCCTGGTGATCAGTTTGCAATGGATACAAAGGTCGAATCACTGTATTTTACATGTGAAGCTAGCAGAATATTATATGTAAATTACACTTCAGTTTGAAAAGACTGAATTATTTCCTGGTGGCTCTATAAAGATTGTATTGTGATATGAATAGGCAATCAAAGATTATGTTGCCAAATATATAGGGAAGATGTCCTACAGACATGGATCAGGTGGTTTGTTAATAGAAATACAGCCAACCCTTGAACAACATGAGTTTGAACTGCACGGGTTCACTTATGTAGAGATTCTTTTTTCAAGAAACACAGTACTAGAAATGTATTTTCTCTTCCTTATGATCTTTTTATTTTTATTTTTTAAGTTGATTCTGAGAGAGAGAAAGAGAATCCCAAGCAGGCTGCACACTGCCAGTATGGAGCCCAATGCAGGGCTCGAACTAACGAACTGCGAGATCATGACCTGAGCTGAAATCTAGAGTCAGATGCTTACCTGACTGAGCCACCCAGGCTCCCTTTTTTAATGATTTTTTAATAGCATTTTCTTTTCTGTAGCTTACCTTATTGTGAGGACACAGTGGATAATACATATAACATATAAAATCTGTGTTAATTGACTGGTTGTATTATCGGTAAGGCTTCTGGTCTATAGTAGGCTGTTAGTACTTAAGTTTCTGGGGAGTCAAAAGTTACGTGCAGATTTTTGACTCGACGGGGTCAGTGCCCCTAACCCCTGCCTTGTGCATAGGTTAACGGCATGGTTATTTTTCTGGATATTAGGATGATTTTCCTGTTTATCATCTTTTTAAGTTTGTAAGTTGCTGTTATTTCTTCATTCCAAATACATATTCTTTTTTACATAAAAAAGGTAAAATAAAATAATAGCTACAAATGGTTGACTGCCCCCTTTCTGCCAGGCTCTATGCAAGATTCTGGACCCTTCAGATGGGGAGGAGGGAGACTCAGGAGGTTCAGTCACACACCCAGGGTCCTGGAGCTGGTGAACGGCTGCGATCCAACCCTGGCGTGTATTCCACTCTGGTCCACTGGTCCGCACGTTGGAAGGAAAGCTCCAGTTGGGCATAGTTGTGGTCAGGTAGCAGGGTTGCTGACGTGTTTATTTTTTCTTTTTGCTTTTCAATATTTCCCCTTTTTTTTTTCTTGGGTTAGTACTTGTTACTTTTATAATCAGATGAAAAACACATTTAAATAAGTTAATGCAGTAACGCAAGATTGTGTTGCATTTTGTGGTATTTACATTAATCAGTGTTTGTTTTTTTTCCTACCCATAAAGGGCTTGTAACTCAATATTCACTGCACTGGAGAAAAGTCAAGAAGCAGTTGAAATTACAAGTGAAGACCGCGTTATACAGGTTAGTTATTTTGGAAGGTCATTTTTCTGAATTTCTGGTTTTGTTTGTTCTTATTTTAGGATTGAACCCCTCAGGTATGATTTTTTTTTTCTTTTTGAAGTTCAAGAGACCAAGTTTTCCTTAGAGGATTATCAGAACAAAATGTATAAAATGTGTAGTTTAAACTAAGCTCCCTGTAGACAAGAAAAGATACTAATGATTACTTTGGGTGCTAGAAAATATTCTAGCACATTTGCATTTATTACTTTTCACCTTTTTGTTTGTTTGTTTGTTTGTTTGTTTAGCAAGAGGAGACTTTTATCCAGAGGGATTACCCCCGGGGGTTGGGGTGGGGGGTGTGGAGAGGAGGCTCTGACCGCAAGGTCTGCAGGTTCTTGGCTTTCTCCCTGGTCTTGAAGATAGTTTACACCTTTAGAAATTTACCAGAAACTACTCAGAATTTCCAGAACAACCTAGTAGTCGCTGAACAAATGACCCGTTATTAGCAAAGTGGATTCATAAAAGCGGCTTAAGGTAACAAGACTTGCACTTTTTAGATAACAAGAGAGGGGTTGTGCCGAGGAAACGCTCCCTTTGTCTGAGAATCAGCTCCACCTTGATGTTGATTCTGATTCTGAGCACTCCTGCTCCTCACTTTCCTCTCGCTTGTGACTTTCTCTGTAAAGAGCTGCTGATCCTGACTTTCAGGAGTTGGTGCCCTGAGAGGCAGCCTGGGCCAGTGGCTGTGGGTACAAGCTGGTGTCAGACAGGCCTGGGTTGCATTCAGCTCGGCCCTTTCATAGCTGAGCATCGTTGGGCAAGTTATTTAATCTCTCTGAATGTGGTCTCTCAGCTGTACAGATGGGAATAATTGTCTTTTAAAGTTTATTTGGGGGCAAGGGGGAGGGCAGAGAGAGAGGGAGAGAGAGAGAATCCTAAGCAGGCTCCGTGCTGTCAGTGCAGAGCCAGACACAGGGCTTTATCTCACTATTCGTGAGATCATGACCTGAGCTGAAATCAAGAGCTGGACACTTAAGCAACTGAGCCACCAGGTGCCCCAGACAGGAATAATATTAATATTCACAATACTAATTATTGCCTTTTGTAAGGATGTTCTAAGGACTAAGTGGGTTAATGTGTGTGAAATGCATACTATAGTGTCTAGCAAGGAAAACAGATCTTAAGCAGCATCAGTTACTGCTTTATCATTATTTTATTATTATTATTATTATTATTATTATTATTATTATTATTACTATTACTATTATTATTAGCACATGCTCAACTTTCCTGTACATTTTATCCTAGTCTTATAATCGTCTTTGAAATTTAGCCATACAGCCTTATATCTGTAAATACTTCACAGTTCATAGCCTGTTTTGATTATTCACGTGTATCACGAGAGTGGCAAGATAGATGTTCTGTTCCCATTACACAGATACGTAGACTGAGACTTAGAGGGGTCAAGGGACTCGGCAGAGGAGGGTCTGAGTGCTTCAGACTTCAGTCTGGTGCTTTGTCCTACTGTATCATCATCCCAAAAAGCCTTTTGTAGCAACCCGGGCCCGTCTCCATGCGGCTTCTTTCCTCTGTTGGTATTCGAGTGGGATCAGGCCATCTCTCCTGGGGGCCTTGGGGGCCACGGCAGAAAGCGCAGCCAGGTGTCCCTGGAGCAGTGGCTTCTCTGGACTCCAGGGATCACCTGGGGGTGTGCTCTTTGGGCTTTAGAACTCTGGTGGGGAGCTCCAGGTTCTTGAGCTTTCTAGGAGGCAAACAAGCCGGCTTGGGGTGAATACCCTTGATTGCCCTCTTTTCAAATTCTCTTCTAATCTGGGTGATGTTGTTTCTTTTGTCTCCCCCCCAGTATGCAAATCCTGCGTTTGAAACAACCATGGGCTATCAAGCAGGCGAACTAATAGGCAAGGAGTTAGCGGAAGTGCCTGTAAATGAAAAAAAGGCTGAGTTGCTCGATACCATAAATTCATGCATCAGGATAGGCAAGGTAAGTGAGGGCTCTGGCCCTTGTTCACTCTCGCATCACAGAGAGGACAGGAAGGAGACTTGGTGCTCACTGAGCATTGCACACGCCGGGGAATCGGAGTCCTACCCCGCGCAGAAGCCCGAGGAAATGCTGCTGGCGTCATCCCCATTTTTCCCATTTTGCGGAAGAGGAAACTGAGGCCAAGAAAGGGTAGAGTGTGATTAGCTGTTACACAGAAAAATTTTAATTGGCACTGAAAATTACTCTTTTCATCTTTATGATAAATAAATTGATCTTTCTAATCACTGATCTTCTGAGCGGTAGGTGTTGGCAAATGGCTCTGGGCAGAGGAGCACGCCGGTGAGGTCCGTGGTCTTGGAGCACCTCTGAGCCCAACAAGTCTCTGGGCCTCCTGCTTTCATCCAGCCTTTTCTGGAATGCCTCCCTTGGGCAGACACTCTGCTAGATTCTGGCATAGACAGAAGGGCACAACACAGACTCCTTCATAGAGAGCTCCTATTCCAAGGGTGCAAACGGGACAAGTCACATGATCTCAGTGCCGGCGGGGACAGACGGAAGGCAGGCCCAGTCTGAAGGGCGACTTCTCAGAGCCGTGGCTCCCGCCGGCACCTCACGGTTCCTGGGTTTTTAGACAAGAGACGGGTTGTGCCCAGGAAATGCCGAGGCTGCTGCTTTTCCACAGTCTTTCCTGCCGGGCTCTCGTGAAGGTTTGGAAGTCGGGGAGACCGATCATCTGGTCACTCCAAACGCTTGAGATACCGGTGACCGGCTCTCTTGCCCGCTGCCCTGTGACATCCGGCCAGCGCCTGTCCCGTAGTCTAGCAGAGCACGTCACCGGGGCCCCGGAGACACCCTTGGTGGGTTCGTGTCCCTTGGCTCTCCCGCGGTGCTGAGCAAGGGGAGGACAAGGACAGGGCAGGCAGGGCCCAGTGACATGCCGTCTGGGGAATAACTAACGGGCACTTCCTGAATCCCGTTCCTTCAGCCGTTCTGTCAAGGATGATGATTTTCTTGCTGGAGAGAGTGGCAGGTCCTCCAGAAAGAGCATGGAGGCCGAGGCAGGGAGTAGGCCTCGGGTGCTCAGCACCCTGCCCAGGCTGACCCCGGCCCCCCCACCTCAGTTGGAAGGGGCATCCTCAGAGGGTGGTGACCAAGCAGCAGTCCCAGAAGCCTTGGGAGGGCTTTCCACGGCCTCCCCAATCCTGGCATTTAGGCCCCATGCTGCCACTGGGTCAGCCGGCGGTTCTGTCATGCGGGCCAGCCGGGCGCGAGCCGGAGATGACGGCCTCGCGCGCCTCCATCTGGTAACCCGAACACGGGGGGCCCCTGCTCGTCGCCAAAGAGAGAGTGGAGGTGGGGACGGGGCCGTTAGCGGGCTAGAGCCGGGCCCTGGGATCTACCGAGATCCGTGTGAAGGGCATCTCGCCTCCTACGTAATGCTGTTGGCACCAGGTACGAGGGGCCTCAAGCTTGAACACCTGAGACCTGTTCTCTAAAATCTATTGTGAGCAGAGGATATGAAAGATTATCGTGTTATGACCCCACTACTGTTTTATTTCAGAAAGGAACACGGTTGTTTATTTTGTATGTTTCGGAGCTCCCGGGGAGAGCCGTTTGTCCTTCGTCAGTAACCTGCTGGTCCCTCGGCCAGCACTGCAACAGGACAGGCCGCTTAGCCGGGAAGGTTTTTGATGTGAAAGAAAACATGGCCTTTCTGATCGGGTCCCCTAGGGAGGGAGAAGGGCTTGCTGAGGAGTCGGCTGCCCTGGGTAACAGTGGTGCTGGGTTCAGTGGAGAGAGCTCAGACAGGCCCTGGGAACCAGAATGGGAACTTAGAAGTAGTTAGGTGACAGCGCTGGGGGCTTTGAAGGGTCACATTCCAGGTGTGCCCCTTAGGGATAGAGGAGAAATTGTGATGATGGTCAAAGGAGGAGTATTGCAAACACTACCCTCCGCAGACTCCCTCCACCCGTTGTTCTCAGCCAGCAGCCCCTCTTTGGGAGAGCACCTGCTGCTATTAGGTGACCTTGATTTTCAGCTTCCGTGCTCAGGCTTCCTTGCATCCCTGCACCTCCTTCCCGACTCCCCCCTTTTCCTCGTCCCCAGGACTCGTCTCGCAGGCTCTAGAGCCTACGGTCTCCTCTTCTCAGACACCCAAACCTTACACGGGTTCTTCTCCTTTAGAAACTGAATTTTCTTCCCTTGGAAGTTGTGTCTCGTGGGCACTGAGCAAATGTTGGCTGCTCGGGTGTCTGCCTGTAATAATGACGTGTGGCCACAGAGCCCCCACTGGCTTTTCAGAACTTGGAGTTCCAGGTCCTCTGCTTTGTTCCGTCACTGGCTCCCTCAGTGCACGTTTCCTCCCGCGTTTACCGGGGTCCTTCATCCATGCTGTGCTCCTCAGAAAGCTTCTTGTTTGCTGAGGCACCTTTGCTACTCCACACGGATGTCCCACGCCTCCCGCTTTTAGCCCCAGCCTCTTCTCCAGGGCCTCGTGCAACGTCCCACCATCACCTGTCTGACAGCGATGATTTCCTGTCGTCCCCTCCAGCCTCTGCTGCCTCTGCCGCCTCTGCCTGTCGGCCGTCCTCACACTTGCCCGGAAGCCCATTGCTGGGCTCCTCCCTACCCTCCGGCGTCAAGTCCATCACTCAGCCCTGACGTCTGTTAAACCCCTGCCTTGGAGAGTCCGCTGCCTGGGCCTGACCTTACGCAGGGCCTTCTCCCCAACCCTGGGTTGTGGTGGCTGAACCCAGTCAGGTCTCCCCGACCCGTGACCTCCACCTCCAGTCAGCGCACTCCCCACTCCCGAGTGATTAGTCTGATCACGTCACTCTGCCAGTGTAGAGGTCACATCCCTTGGCCTGGCTGCAAGCATTCTACAGTCTGACCTCGGCCTGCCTTTTCCATTCAGTGAACAGAAGCTCCAGTGTCCCTGGACTGTTTACCATGTGCAGACCCTGGGGACAGGACAGCGGATGACAGAGATTTCATTCTTAGACACCAGGCACCAAGAAAGGGCTGTCCTGATGGTCAGAGATGCCAGCTTGGTGCTTAGCTTGCCCCCGAACAGAAGCGAGGTGTGGGCCCCAGTGCCGTTCTGAGGGGGGCTCGGCCAGCAGAGAGAGGCCTGTGCAAAACCACCTGGGCCGGAACAGCCATTTACTGGTTGCCGTGTGTCAGGACCTCGTGCTTTTCCGGATTGAATCTTCGTAACCGCGTTCTCAGGTCGTGCTTTGGTATTCTCGGGAGCTAAAACTTATGTATTTATGATAGATAATTGCTTCTGATAAGAAATACGATCTGCGATGAGTAACTATTGTTTGTTTCTGTTGGCAACTGAAAAACTTACACGTGAAACTGTCCTCCTCCAAGCAGAACCTCTGCCCAAACCGGCCTGTTCCTTGGCCGGACTGTTCAGCTCTGGCCGAATTGGCTTCTTTTCCACCTTTGCTTGGTGCCCACGTCTTTTCAGACAGGAGAGAAAATCCTGCAGATGTATTTTAAAGTGTTGATTGATTGATGGATTGAATTGGTCTCTCATTTTTCTCCCTCTCTCTCTTTTTTTTTTTATTTTTTTTTATTTTTTTAAATTTTTTTTTTTCAACGTTTATTTATTTTTGGGACAGAGAGAGACAGAGCATGAACGGGGGAGGGTCAGAGAGAGAGGGAGACACAGAATCGGAAACAGGCTCCAGGCTCCGAGCCATCAGCCCAGAGCCTGACGCGGGGCTCGAACTCACGGACCGCGAGATCGTGACCTGGCTGAAGTCGGACGCTTAACCGACTGCGCCACCCAGGCGCCCCTCTCCCTTTCTCTCTTATATAACAGCTCTATTGAGAGAATTATTCTCTAGTGAGAATAATTGAGAATTCACATACCGCACAATTCACCCACTTAAAGTCTACAATTCTGTGGTGTTTGGTCTGTTCACAGTTTTATAAACATCACCACAGTCAGTTTCCCATATTTCTCTTGATCGTGAGCTTCAGAAGTAAGTCTTGGACCTGTCTGCTGAAGCCCCCTTGGGGGATACGCGGGCTGTGGGTGAGGAGAACGCACTGTACCTTCCTGCCCAGGGACCCCTGTTTAGTTCTTGCCTGTTCTGGGCACTGGCCAGTCTCCCCTCAGAACTGTAGTGAGTAAGAGCCTCAGCTCCCTTCTGCTCTGGGCCAAGTAAGCCCTGAGCTGGGCTCTCAGGCTTTTATGTCAGTCCTTCCTTGGCGCCCACTGTTTTTAGAAATACGTTGAGAATCATCGGTAACCATCCTTCGCTTCTGTCTGAATGTCCTGGTTTCTGCTCAGTCCGCTTTCTCAGAGGAGCCTGAAAATGAGATTTTCCTATTGGCATTTGCATGCAGGTTGCCATGCCGTAAGCATGGAAGATTCCAGAATTGACCCTGTGTGAGGGTCTAGACAGGATATTGGAGCTAGGCCACCAAGACTTCCCGCCTGGGTCAGCCCCAGGTCCCGGGGGATCTAGAAGGGCAGGAAGGTTATGGAACACCCTAGAAGTTCAGTGTCCCACAGTGGGTTTTAAGGATATTTATAGCTTGAGGACCTTGGTGACTCTTGGAGGGATTCCCAACCTCTTGGGCGGGAACAGAACCCCGCTCTACCTCAGGCTTGTCCTTGCCACCCCAGGGGTAGGGAACCACCTATAGCCCCCGTTCTCTCACTGTGGTCACGGCACGTGTGCACCTCCTGTCCCAGGCTGCAGTTTTGTTCTAAAAGGATCCTGTATATTCTGTCTGCTCACTGGAGCACAGCTGGTGTAACTGTGGTCCCGGCTTTTAAAGTCTCACTGATGTGTTATACCTGAGCCCAGACCTGGCTGTTCCCCTCCCTGATCTCCACGGAGGGACCGTGGCCCTCACACAACGCCCCCGGGTCCTGAGGGTCTCCCCTCCCGAATGCAGGGGCAGAGGCCGCACTGCTCCTCCCCTGCACAGGCAGGAGCTAGGACAGGAGGGATCCGTGTGGGGAAGCGAGCCGGCGCTCTTCAGTGATTCACTAGTGGGCCCAGGGCCTCTTGCTGGCAGCCGGCCGCTGACCTGTCACCACTCAGACTGTGGGGGGCTGGCATTTGTCAGCAGCCCCCGAGGAGACGGACTTGGGGAAAATGGCCAGGTTACCCAAAATCCTGTTTGGGGTTGGGGTAATTCTTTATCCTAATCGCTTTAGCCATGGTAAATGAACCCGAACCTGAGTGGAAGATGTTCTTGGGTTTATGCTCTGAACACACGGTGTAATGATGCTTATGTTCCATTTTTAGGAGTGGCAAGGAATTTACCATGCCAAAAAGAAAAATGGAGACAATGTACAACAGAACGTGAAGATAGTACCTGTCGTCGGACAGGGAGGGTGAGTGGAGACAGCATACTTCGGTCAGCACGCTCTGCTTGGCTTTATTGCAGGATTTGCTCTGAATACTTAAGTGAGTTAGGAACTGCATGCAGAAATTTAAAAGAAAGACTTGTAACAAAGTCAGATGTCATCCAAGAATGACGTTCTTCCAGGCCATCCCTTGTGGCTATGGCCTGGCCCTCCCACTTGTGACCTGAAACCACCAGGTTCCAGACAGTCTTGCTTATGCTGCATGGACACAAAAGAGACTCCCGTATTTAAATCAGAATGTCACTTTATTAAGCTGTGTGTGAGGGACACTACCTGGTGGACTCCCTGTATTTAGAAGGTTTTTATCTCAGTTGATAGCCTGTGTATTATTTCTGCCTAGGCCTATCAAATGATATAAAAGTATTTAAAACACTGCCCTTTATAGAAATTCTCACGTAAAACAGATGTGACTGCAGATGGCAAAGTGTTGTCTAGCAGGAGCCCGAAAACGCCCTGTGGTTTGTCTCAGAGTTTATCTTAAATAGGAAGAACACCGGGAAATGATGAATGTGAATTGCAGGACACCCCACGATGAAATAGGCAACCATTAGAAATGACGATCATAGAAAATTAAACAGGGAAAAAGCTTAAGATGAATGCAAAAATGAAAATGCAAAATCAGACCCAGTGCGTGATTTCTATCCTGAAAATAGAAGAAGGAGAGAAAAGAGCAGGAAGAGATGCGGCGGTGGCGGTCCCAGCAGCTGCTGCCGTGCCTCGAGCCCGGCCCTCCCTGGGCAGGCTCCCAGTGCCCGGTAGACGTCAGTTCATTGCCTCCTAAGCACGCGCTGTGGCGTCGGCACTCCATTTTACAGATGAGGAAACTTGAGGCTGGAGAGGTGGGGTTTCTGGCCCAGGGTCTGGCCGCCGGTGCTCGGCGGAGCGGGGCCACCGCGGTGACCACATGGCTCACGTGGTTGGTCACCAGGCTTGGCTGCCGGTTGGCGATGGCCTCAGGGAGGCGGGTCTGTGTGGGCTCTCTGTTCTGATTCTTTGCCTTTTTATGTCCTTTCCAAAGTTTATGCAATAATTATATAGGGATTTAATTATCCAGGGAAAAATGGAAGGCCCAGTAAATAAGTGAGGAGTCAAGTTTGCAACTTCCAGGATGAGCCCTGGGTGCTTTGTCTTAGTACCCCCCCCCCCCCCCCCCCCCCCCCCCCAGCTACATGTGGCCTTGGCCCTCAGCGTGGCCTGTGGCGCTGCCCTGAGTGACTGTGAGCACACTGTTTGTTAGAACCTGGGAAAGATCATTAATACAAAGGGCTGTGAAAATGAAAAGATGCTAAGGAATTCAAGGCTTTCCGTTGGTTACCAGTCCATTTTTTAAAACATGGGTGTTTTTATTCTGTGTTGTGATGATTTGGAAGAGCTGTGTTGTTTTTACTAGAGAGTCAACTTCTTGTCTACAGAGACACCAGAGGACGTGTGTAGACTCTGGGGTGCTTCTTGGTGGCCTTGGCCACAAACAATAGACGTGCTCTGCTCCAGGCATTTTGTGTATTGTGAAAGAGAGAGGCTCTTTCATGATGAAAATTAGCTACATATCCATCAGAACAGAGAGCCAGGAGAGAAATAATGCCTTGTTTTCTACTTGCAGAAAAATTAGACACTATGTGTCCATTATCAGAGTGTGCAATGGCAACAATAAGGTACGTAAGGGGAGCCCTGGGGCCCCCAGGTGTACCCCGGCAAGACTTCCTGCTCCTATAAAGTAGACAATCAGAACTAATGGTTTTTACGTTCATTTCTAGGCCGAGAAAAGAACTGAAAGTGTTCAGTCTGACCCTCACACAGGTATGCTGCTCCGCGTTCGTTCTTCCGGGCCGTCAAGCTTTTGAAAAAAAGAGAAACAGACCCTTACTCTGGTGCCTCGTGCGCAGGAGGGACTGCTTCCCTAGTGCCGTGGCGGTGTTTCTCTCCCTCCCTCTCCCAGGCAGGGACCCGAGCGCCCGTGGGAGTTCTGACGGGTGTCGTGGGGTGGGGAGAGAACCCGCGTCCAACGCGTGAACTTCTGTGAAGATGTGTTGCGGGGAGAGAACTGGTCACCTCCGGTGCACGAACTTACGTGAAGATGCATTGAGTGAACTGTGGTTTCTTGGCCTCATCTGTGCTCTGGGAGGCAACCGTGTTGGGTGTCAGGCTACAGCACTGAGCGGGGATGTCTTCATCGGACAGTAGTCCCCTCCAGCCTGTAGGGAGGTAGCTGGACCCCGTCAGACTTGGCTCGCCCCATATCTGTCCCGTCATGCCTCAGACCACACCCGCTTAGGCCCACATCTGTTAGCGCACACGTTTCCCCCTGGCCTGGAATTGCCTGTTTCCTCTCAGCGTGTGCCGTGGCCTCACCACGCCCACTGTCTACTCTGGCCACCCTGGGTGAAGCCACAGGCTCTCCAGCAAGCCCACCTGGGTGCTGGACCGCAGCCTGCCGTGCCGGGTGGTTGCCCAGCCAGTCCGTAGGAGCCTCCAGGGAGAAGACTCTGTCTTCTGTCCCACCAGCTGTTGCTGAGGTGCTTCCTGCAGTGCCAGGACAGACAGACAGACATACCCAGAACATACATACAAACATACATACATTCATTCATTCATTCATTCAATCTTTCGCTCATTCATTCTAGGTGTTTTTCTGAGTGTGTACTGTGCCCACAGCCCTGTGCTAAGTGCTTGAATTAGTGTATGTAATTGAACCCTTGCAGTGACCCAGGGGGTAGACACTTTGTGGATGAAGTTCCCTTTTTACAGGTAGGGAAACTGGAGGGCTAACTGATTTGCTCAAGGGTAACCCACGTAGGACACGGTAGAGCTGGCCTGGAATCCGGCTGGCCAGCTCTGGAGGTCTCCAGCACAGACTCGGACAACTCTGCGGGCGCGCCAGGAGCGGTCAGGGCTTTCCCTGCAGAGGAAGAGAGACCAGCTGATGGCCAGGGGAACGGCAACGAGAAGGGAAAGGACCAGCGGTGCCATGGTGGCCCAGAGGAGGAGGGGGGAGAGTTCCAGACAGAGAGACGTGGATTGAAGAAGGAGAGGGGTGTGGAAGGAAAAGTGTTCCAGAAATATAGACAGTCGTAGAGGAGGGAAAGGTCAGAACATGTTCAAGGGAAAACAGGACTAAATTTTGACTGTCAGTGTGGAAGGGCAGTTGGGATCACAAAGGGTCCCTGGATACCAGGTAGGAGATTCGGATTTTTGTCTGTAGGTAGTGGGGACTGAGGACTTTAAGCAGGGGAGTAGTGTGATGATTTCTGTTGAGTACCGGAGCCCTTGTTCCTGTGTTCTGCAAAGAGGTTGGGACAGATGTAACCTTGCTGGCCAGCGAAGCATTTGCAAGTAACCCAGGTGTGGAACTGACGAGACGGAGCCCAGGGGTCGTAAGGGTTACGGAGGACAAATGGCAGGGAAGGAGCCGGGGAGAAGATTCCTGGAGACCCACCTGCACCGGGCTCAGGGGGGGAACAGGAAGCTGGGTGGGGGGTGTTACTGCGGCCAGGGGAGGGGAGAGGGAAGCGTTGGATCACAGTCAGAGCTGACCGTGCAGAGGTGAGGGAGGGGAGTACGGAGCCAGAGGTGGAGAGAGACCTCGGCTCTTGCATCCAAGAACGCGCTTATGACCTGTAGACGTGCGGGGTCAGGAGGGTGGTGGGGGCAGAAGCCGGACCACAGGGCTGGAGGGGTCAGGATGGAGCCGGCGAACGCAGGCCCCCCAGGATATTGACCCTTACGCTGCAAGGTCACAGAGTGCCTTTACTTGGATATTTTGTTTTCTTTCGGAAGAGCCCTGTGAGGTAGGCCTGGCTGTCGCCAACACCCCTTTATTACAGAGAGAGACACTAAGCTCGGAAGGGGTAAATGCTACCTCAGAGTTGGCGGCCAGGAAGCAGCAGGGCGGGGACTGGCAGGGGGACTCACTGACCTGGTCCTAGGTGTCGGGCAAGGGCAGAGCCTCCCAGACTGCTCTTGTGCCGGGCCGTTCTGTCTCGGCACCTGATTGGTGCCCGCTTTGGAGTCTTCCCCATCTCACCCCGAGGAGCTGGCTCTCTGGTCTCCTCCCGCCCCCCAGCAGCGTAACCACTTTTATGTCCACAAGACTCTACCGACCACGGTCTTGCCCCGGGAAGGGAGGGAAGCGGTCACGGGCCACGGACCAGCCAGGACCCTCGGTTACACACGGCACTGTCATTTCTGAAGCAGAAAAGGAGTTTAGTGGAAGGAAATAGGGTGGCTCACAGAATGGACGAAAAGCTTAAGAATTGATCTGAGACAAACAGGAAGCTGGGTGACCGTCCCCACTGTCGAAGGCGTGCCCTAGGAGCGGTGTGCCGGGGACACCGAGGCTCTGCCGACGTCCTGGCACGATGTCGCCGTCACCATGGGCACAGTGGCTTCCTCACAGCCGTGCTTCACTGCCGCACCTGTGGTCTTTCATACCCGGCTGGAAGCACATGATGCCGTGTGTCACCGAAGACACCACAGGCGTCATCTGTCCAGTTTGTAAACCTTGAGTCGGTCTGGAGTCAGCTCTGAGCCAGCTTTCGGCACAGAAATGAACGTGGAGTTCACTGGAGGGGGGGAAGGAAGCAGTAATTTGAACAGACTCTACTCTGTCGTGCCACAGTGGGGGAGAACGGGCGTCACGTGCCAGCAGTGATGACACGAGGGCTGAGCTGGTCTCTGGAGAGAGGGCGGGGTCAGCCCCAGGACAGGAAGAACATTCCTGCGGGGATGAGCAGCGTGCATAAAGCCGTCGAGACAGGTGATGCCGGGTCAGGCCTGCTTGGATTTCCTCCTGCAAGCAGAGGGGGCAGGAGTCTGTCCTTAAAGAAGTAAATGAAAAGGGACCCCTTCCGGGAAAGACAGTCATGGTGATGGTACGGAGAAAAGACTCCAGGCAAAGAGTCACTTGGTGTAATCAGTAGGACTTGGGAGCAGCACCATGTGAGGGATGAAGGGAAGACACTTGAGAATGTCACCAAGATTTCTAGCTTGGCCACTGGATGGCACAGATGAAAATAGTAAGTGCGGGCGAAAGAGCAGGTTTGTGCAGGGAGAGGACAGCAAGTTTAGATTTGAACTTGGTCCATCTAGGGTGCCTGGAATGGTCCAGTGGAGATGTCTGGGGGCGTATGGAGAGGCCAGAGTCGTGGGCCTGGGCAGCTCTCCTGACGAGAGGAGGAGAGGCGCTGAGGGTGGGGGTCCAACACCAGCAGACATGGAGGGCACGTGTAGGGAAGCAGGATGTGGAAGTCCTTCGTGCAACCAGAATTCAGCCATCGTGTGCCAGGCGGCATGTGTCTTTGCTTATGAGAGGCCTGCGCTCTGTTCCCTGGTGGGGGGCTGGGTAGCTCACAGGACAAGATGGGCGGGAAAGGCCTCACCAGGAACGGGCCATGTTCCAGGTCGGGCAGCGTATTTTACAGGTATTCTCCTGAGCTGTGGGGTTGGGGCCACCGGTACGGGCCTCGCAGACCCTGCGAGGCCTTGGAGTGCTAGTCTGGGTCTGCAGGAAGCCGGCTTTCTCAGTTGGAGGAGGTAGAGACACCAAGGAGGAGGAGGGCTGACAAGCAGCTTGTTGACCAGGCTCTTGGGAGGTCGGTGGTCCCGGGGCAGAGCAGGCAGTCCACAAATGCTCGAACTGTTGAGAATGCCGAGAAAGTTCTCTGAAAGTCCGCCACGCTCCCAGCAGCGACCTGTAAGCAAGTCGTGCAAGACACCCAGTTCTCAGCTTCCCTGTAACCAAAATGGAGCTTACAGGGCGCCGGGGGGGGGCTCAGTCAGTTGAGCGTCCGACTTCGGCTCAGGCCACGATCTCGCGTTCGTGAGTTCGAGCCCCGCGTCGGGCTCTGTGCTGACAGCTCGGAGCCTGGAGCCTGCTTCGGATTCTGTGTCTCCCTCTCTCTCTGCTCTTCCCCCACCCACGCTCAGTCTCTGTCTCTGTCTCTCTCTCTCTCTCAAAGATAAATAAACGTTAAAATTTTTTTTTTTAATGGAGCTCATGCTGACAGCACAGCATTAATGTGGCAGTGGAGGCACATTTGTGGGTGCCGAACAGTTCCCACTCTCACTGCTTCTCCGGGGTTCCCTGGATTTACCCAGCAAGGCAAGGAAATGCTGCTCGTTTTTCTCTACTAAAACTATGGGGCTGTGTGGGAGGATCACACTTTATGGAACAGGACACCGAGAGCACAGGGCAGAAGTCACAGGTGGTGCGGGATGCGAGCCCGGGCGGTCGAGGCCTGTGCAGCCTGCTGTCCGTTACCAGGCCGGGTGCCTCGGAGCTCTCCTGTTTGTGGTGAGGGCTCCGCGGGGTGAGGGCCTGGCTCGTGCTCCTTAGGGCTTGCAGTCTGCCTGAGATGTGAACCCCGCATTCACCCCCCGACAATCCCCGAGTCTGCTTCTGAGAGCCGACCAGCGGGAGCGGCACCCCAGCAGGTGCAGGCTGTTGGAGATGGGTCTCGAATGGGAACCAGGAAGATCCGGTGTTTACACGGCGATAAAGTGACTTTAAAGCCTTCAGTACAAACGGAAGCCTGCGCTTCTCCTTCCACTGTTGCCCCGACCCAGTCCTTGGTTACACGTGCTGCATTTTGCTTCCGGACAGCTACACTCTGGTCTGTAGGCAAGCGGCTTCCTCCTCCTGGAGATGGCCCCCTCCTCTTCTTGGCTGCATCTGCTAAACTTAACTCATCTGCTGTCTGCCTGTCTCCCGGAGGAGACCTGCCTCATCCGTCTTCATATCCCTAATGCCTGGCGTAGGGCCCAGTACATGGGAGGCGCCCAGAGAGTGAGTGTTGAGTGGCTCCAGGGGAGAAGAATGCAGGAGTGACCTTGTAAGTTCACGGCCGTCATACCGGGTCTGTGTGTGGCGGGCGGGGGGCAGGGGGGAGGGCGATCCGACTTGAGGGAGTGAGCCTCCAGAGAGGATACGGCGTCGTGTGGGAAGCGGGAGGGGCAGGCGTGCTGACAGCCACGTGGGGTCACGGCAGGTGAGGCGAGAGGCAGACTGTGGCCAGTGGCCTGTCCTTGGCTGCCAGCCAGTTGCTTGCTCCCCGTGGCGCTGCAGGGTTTCAAGCAAGGGAGCCGTGGAAGCAGAGCGTTGTGTGAGGCGGTACTTTCACCCACGCTCAGGGATTTGCAGGTGTCTGTTGAGGGTCTGTTAATGGCTGGGCAGTGCTGGTCCCCCAAGAAAAAGACAGGAAGGCTGTTCCTGCGCTCGTGTCCTCCAGAGCCGGTGAGGAAGGTAGACGGTAAAGTAGGTGGTTACTGGCGATGTTGGGGGTGCAAGGAGGCATTAGAAGAACATTCACCGAGGTTATGGTACCTGAGCCGCATGTTCGGGAGTATCGAGAGTTAACCAGGTGAAGAAGGCAGCATGGGAGGGGTAGGTTCCCAAGTGGAGGTGAGCAGTCCGTGCCAAGGCGTAGAAGGTTGTGAGGTGAACTAGCACGTCACAAATAGGTGGTCGTGGCTGGAAAGAGGAGATCCAGCTATCCTAGACTCTAGGTGCCACACCGGGGAGTTTAAATCGTGTCCTAAAAATAGTGATGAACCATTGAATTGTCGTCATTGGGAGAGTGATCTGTTTTAGGAGGATCACCTGGCTGCCTACGGAGAATGGGATGAAGGGGACAAGGTTGGGGATAAGGTTGGGGACTGTGGGAGCAGTGTGAGAGGCTGTCATTCTGTCATTATAATCCAGAGGAGGATGGCACGTGTCTAGCTAGGACAGGGACAGAGCAGGGGTAGATTAAAGAGGTATTTAGGAGATAAAATCTGTAGATTTAGCTGACCAGTTGAGGGAGAGGTACGGAGAAGTCACGTAGGACTTGTTTCAAACTTCAGTGGATATGGGGGAGACCATGAGTTGACTGGAAGTTCCCGAGGGGTGTCCAGCTAGAGGTGGCCAGTGGCCAGCTGAGATGGAAGTCTGGCTCTCAGGAGAGGCCTGGGATTGGGCAGCAGCACAGGAGTTAGTTTCCTCTGTAGGAAGAAATGAGATCTCCCAAGGAGACGTGTTGTCTGAGAAGATGAGCAGGGCTAAGGACAACCTTGGGATCGAGGAAGAGGGAGCCATGACGAGGGGGGCCGAGGAAGAGGGAGATTGGGAAGGAAGAGTAGGAGACAGAAGGAGAACCAGGAGAGGGTGAACGTGTGCAAAGTGTGAGTTTCCAGAAAGAGTGGTTAGCTGTGTCTGGGACCGCAGTCAAGCCAGGTAGGAATTGAACCGTGTCCTTCAGATGTAGAAACGATGAGGTCATCCGTGACTTGACAAGTTTGCTGCCGGTGCCCGTGTGGAAGAGAACGAAGCAAAGAACGAGTGAAGGGGCTTCCCGATGGTGGGGAGGGGTGCCTGGGGCCTGCACGCAGATCCTGTGGCTGAGCAGGACTCCAGGTGAGGGGGCCAAGTGAAGGCAGAGAAGGCGCGGCGTGCAGGTCGGGGCGGGGGGGGGCCCGAGCGCCAGCTCCATGTTCCCTCACAGCAGGGCGGCTGCCGGTTTCCTCGTCTGTGAAATGGGGACAGGTCAGAGAGGCTCAGCACCACGTGTAGCACCTGCACAGAGGAGGGGACAGGAAGGAAGGTCACCCGTGCCTTGTCATTGATTGGCATGGGAGGTCGAGGGAGAGAGGAGGCAGAGACAGCCCGGGAGAGCCGTGGGGTCAGGGAGATCGATAAACTGTCATCTGAAATAGACCCCAACCCCATTAGCGCTCCCTGTGTACCCTTGAAGAGAGGTACATTCTTTCCTGGGACATTTTAGAGCACGTATTGTTTAAAACAAAAAAGTTCCCTTTGAGGCAAGGATGGGCAGGAATCAAATTTTTTTTTACCGTTTTACTCAATTGTATATGCAGCCGTATGATAGGAAGACTTTTCCTGGGTTCATTTCTTCTAGTTTTGGCTTCATGTCCCAGGACTCTGTAACTACATAATCTGGAAGCTATAGGGCAGTTGCTTATGACTATAACCAGATGGGACATTTTGAGGAAGTTCCCCCCCCCCTTAAAACCTCATTGGTCAGAGCCTTCATCTCTGGGCATTCTGTTGATGTGGGGGGCTTCTTAAATGGTGTTCTAATTCCCACATTTTGTTGTTGAAAAATTTTAAATTGGTAACTTTCCTAATCTGTTGTCAAAATCCCTTCGAAGAGGTGATTTATAGTTTAATTGTTTCCACAGATAATCAGTCAGGCAAACACAAAGACAGAAGGAAAAGCTCGCTCGATGTCAGAGCTGTTGCCTCTCGAGCAAGTGAAGGTAGGTGCAAAGACGAGGGGAAGGGGCAGAGCAGGTGAACTCCTGACACTCGGTCCCCAGTCTCCTCTCCGGGTCCCTGTCCACCTGCAGTGCGGGACAGGGGAGGGGACGCTCTACAGCCCGAGTCCGTGTCCCCTCCCCCGACTCCTGCCGGTGGGCTCCGTTCTCAGCCTTTTCGTGGATATATTTTACTATCTATTCTATCATTGATTTTCTAAACTGTGAACAGCGGAAGATGTCTGTTGATCTCCGTTACTGTATGGGTGGTGCACAGTGCATCTAGAAATTCTTAACATAGTCCGTCGTGGGTTGCCATGGAAACTTCCCTTTGGTGGAGAGGTGAGCTGCATTTGGGGATGCAAAAGACCCTTATTAAGCAAATAGTACGTTTTAATTGGAATATAATTTTTTAAGATTACATAGCTATGTGGCCCGAATGATTTAGTCGTTTTTAAAATGTAATGAAAATGGTTAATACAGTGTGGAGGCACATGTTACTGCTGGCTGGGTACTTTCCTGGACCCAGAGATGAAAAGGGAAGCGTGTGGAGTTGATCGTCACTAGATAAAAAGCCACAGCTTTCCAGGGCAACAGCAACTCAGATTAGACAAGAGATCGAGTGTCCTCAGGTTGGTTGCGAGGCTCCGAAAAGACAAATGTGTCCCGCACTGGAAAGACTGCGCAGGCCCCACCCTGCTACACAGGCGAGAAACGGGCTTTGGCCTCAGAATCACCTTGATTCCGGTCCCAGCTTCGTGTACTGTCCGCGCAACTTTGTGGGTAGACCCGCGTGCCTCCGTTTCCTCACCGTGACCAGGGGGGCAGGTGTGCTGTCCCCAGAGGGTTGTGTGAGGGGTGAGGGTGCGTGGTGCCCTGCAGGGGTGGCGGGAGCTGCCACCACCGTCTTCGCCGCGGCCTCCACTCGAGCAGCCCCGTGGTCCTCCCAAGTCCTCGGGCAGAGCGGGCAGGGGCAAAGTCACCCCCCCCCACACACACACACACAGCAGTCTCCGCTCCTCCCCTCTTGCTTCTGTCCATCCTTAGGCTGACTCAGTCCCTCTCTGTATTTTTAAGAGTTAAACATTTTTCTTGTAACGTTTCTGGTTTTTAATTGCCACTCTTTTTTAACTTAGTTATAATTTACATACGGTGGAATTCAGATGTCCAATGTTCAGTTCCGTGAGTTTCAGCAGTTCAACACTCGTGCAACTGCCCCCACAAAGCAGATACAGAAAACGCGCGCGCGCACACCTTTTACGGCACAGAGGCCGCCACTGATTCTGGGACCGTAAATTAAGTGGGCCTGTTGTGCTTCACAGAGATCGTACAGCACGTGCTGCTTGAGTCTGGCTTCTATCACTTATTTTAGGTTTTTGAGATCCATCCATGTTGCTAGGCGAGTCCGTACTTCATTGTCTTTATTGCTCGGCAGTCCTCTGTCGCAGGGACGTGCCACCCTTATCCGTTCTTTTATTCAGAGGTATCTGTGTTCATCTTTCCACTTCGGGGCTGTTAAGAATAAGGCTGCAGGGGCGCCTGGGTGGCTCAGTCGGTTAAGCGTCCGACTCTTGATCTCAGGGTTGTGAGTTCGAGCCCCGAGTTGAGCCATGCGTTGGGCTCTGTGCTGGGCATGGAGCCTACTTAAAATAATAGGACGGCTGCGTGAATGTTTTTACCCAAGTCTTTCTGGGGGTGGGCACGTGTTCCTGTCCTGCCTAGAAGTGGAATTGCTGGGCCTTTGGGCAGCTGCAGAGGTCTCTCTGGTGTGAGTTGTATCAGGTCATCCCCTATCGCTGAGGTGTGGGTGTTCTGGTTGCTCTGCAGCCTTCCAGAAGTGGTTAGCTCAGCATTTTAAATTTCAGCAATTCTGGTGGGTACGGTTTTAATTTTAATTTTCCTGACGACTAATGAGGTTGAGTACCCCCTTCATACGCTTACTAACCATTTGGAAATCCTCTTTTGTGAAGTGCTGTTCAGATATTTTGCCAATTTTTATAATTGAGTTTCTCTTGTTGGCTTATAGGAATTCTTTATATATTTTATTTTTTAATGTTTACTTATTTGAGAAAGAGCGAGAGTGGGGAAGGGGCAGAGAGAGGGAGAGACAGAATCCCAAGCAAGCCCCACACTCAGCATGGAGCCCAACACAGGACTTGATCTCACAACCGTGAGATCGTGACCTGTGCCAAAATCAAGAGTTGGATGCTTGGGCCCCCCTGGATGGCTCAGTCAGTTAAGCATCCGACCCCTGATTTTGGCTCAGGTCATGATCTCACGGTTCGTGGGATCGAGGGTCATGTCAGGCTCTGAGCTGATGATGTGAAGCCTGCATGGCTTCTCTCTCCCTCCCTCTCCCGCTCATCCCTCTCTCTCACTCTCAAAATAGACATTAAAAAAAAAAAAAAAAAAGAGTTGAACACTTGACTGACAGCCCCCCAGGCACCCTGGAATTCTTTATATATTTTAGATATGGGTCCTCTTTTGGATATGGGCATCACAAATACATTTTTTTAGTCTGTGGTTTGCCTTTTCACTCTCTTAATGGTCTTTAATGAACAGAAGTTCTTAATTTTAATAAAGCTCATTCTATCAGTGTTTTCTATCATAGCTGGTGCTTTTTTGTGTCCTGTTCAGGAAATCTTTCCCTATCCCAAGGTTATGAAGATACTCTCTTACGTTCTCTCATAGAAGTTTTCTTGTTTTATCTTTCACCTTAGGTCTGTGATCCATTTCAAATTGGTCTACCTGGTGAAGGTAGGGCTCAAGGATGAATTTTCTCCCTACATGGAAACCCAGTTGGCCCATCACCATATTGAGGAAAAAAAAAAAACAAACATCTTTGCTGCAGTGCTATTATTGTAAATTAGGGGACTATAAGTATACGGTCATTTTCTGGACTCTTCTGTTTCACTGTTGTCTTAGTCTCTTCTTGCACCAATACCACCATCGATTGCTACAGCCTCTACAGTTCTTGATATCTGGTAGTTAGTTTCAAGTTGTTCCTCTTCAAGGTTGTCTTGGCTGTTCCAAGTCCTTTGCATTTCCGTATAAGATTTAGAATCAGCTTGTTACTTTACACACGCACGGCCTCCTGGGGTCTTGTCTAAGAATGTCTTGAATCTACAGATCAATTCAGGGAAAAGGGAAAGCTCAGTGGTACGATATGCTCTGTGTCTCTAGGTTGTTTTTACTTCCTCTCAGTTCTGCGTTTTCAGTGTATAAATCCTACACATCTTTCCTTACGTATATTCCTAAATATTGGTGTTTTGGGATGCTTTCCTAATGATGTTTATTTCAATTTCTAATTGTCTGTTGCCAGTTTCTAGAAATAAAATTGACTTTTGTGTATTGACCTTGTACCCAGTAACCTTGATAAACTTACTCATTGGCTCTAAGAGTAGTGTTTGTAGATTCCTTTGGGTTTGAGCACACACAGGACAGTCTTTGTGACCTTTATTTCTTCTTCTTGCCTTTTTTCATTGTGCTATTTTTTTTTTAATATGAAATTTATTGTCAAATTGGTTTCCATACAACACCTAGTGCTCATCCCAACAGGTGCCCTCCTCAATACCCATCACCCACCCTCCCCTCCCTCCCACCCTCCATCAACCCTCAGAGTGTTCTCAGTTTTTAAGAGTCTCTTATGGTTTGGCTCCCTCCCTCTCTAACTTTTTTTTTTTTTCCCCTTCCCCTCCTCCATGGTCTTCTGTTAAGTTTCTCAGGATCCACATAAGAGTGAAAACATACGGTATCTTTCCTTCTCTGACTTATTTCACTTAGCATCACACTCTCCATTCCATCCATGTTGCTACAAAAGGCCATATTTCATTCTTTCTCATTGCCACGTAGTATTCCATTGTGTATATAAACCACAATTTCTTTATCCATTCATCAGCTGATGGACATTTAGGCTCTTTCCATAATTTGGCTATTGTTGAAAGTGCTGCTAGAAACATTGGGGTACAAGTGCCTCTATGTATCAGCACTCCTGTATCCCTTGGGTAAATTCCTAGCAGGGC